CTCTTCCCCAGAAATCTTCATAGGGCATCACAAGAGCGAAGGTGACCTTCAAAGCCCACGATTATCCCCAAGTGCTTCCCGAACCCCGAAGCCTGGAACTTCCGAGCGATCGCCCCCCCCCCGCCTCGACCCCCCCCCCCCCCCCTGACCTCCTGAAGCCCGAAGCCCCCAGGTAAACAGATCGCCATCTTGGGCACATTCAGCAGCCTTCCAATGGCCCCCGAGCTCCGCACGATCAACCTTGCCACATTCGGGGGATCTCGAGGCAGCTTGGCCGAGGCACGCGCCAGATCATCCGCGAAGCCTGCGGGGTCTGCTTCTGGATTCGCAACCTGGGATTCGAAAAATCTGGGCACGGGGTTGGAGCAGATGGCGAATCATATCTCTGACAGCGGGCACCCCCGCCGAATGCCTCTCTCTAGCATGACGAACACAGGCTCGGAACCGCGGAACTGGATGCGAGTCGCAGCCCTCGCACACAGCATGCGCACCATCGCAACAAACCAAGGCGGCAAGCCCACGCGCTCCAACACGAACATCACCCAAGTATGCGGCATACTCGGGAAGGCCTGCTTCAGGTCAAGAAGGCACGCGCCTGTGTCATCCAGCGCTTCTACGACCTTCCACGGCGCCATCTAAGTGCCAAGCGAGATCACGCGGTCTACCATCTGCCGCCCTGGAACGAACCCTTTCTGGAGCCCGTCGATGGCGACCTGACCGCGCTCGGAAAGCGGACGGGCAAGGGCAGCAGCTACCACCTCATTGCACGTGTCCATCGAAGTTATTGGCCTGGTTTCGTCGGGGGACCTCGCCTCTTCAAGATGCCCTGAGTCATGGTCACCTTCGGGGGGGGGCTCCGAGCCCTACATTGAAGTCCTCCGGGGGGGGCCTCCACTGCCAGCAAGATGTTGACATTGGTCATGTAAAATTCGCCCCGCAATATCCCCCGCCTTCTGGTAAGCACCACGCGGGGCCTCATCAGGCCCTGGACTGGAGCCCCGAAACCCGGGGGGCACGCGTTCGAACTCGGGCCCCGGGGGGAACCGCCCGACGCCTTCAGGAGCCTTCTGGATACACGGCGCGCTTAAATACCGCTGGATCCTGAGCACGCCCGTTGGCAACTTGACCCCGACGCCGAGCAAGCCACGCAGCGCGCGCATCAGGATCGGCCAGGGCCTCGCCAGCCTCGTCAACGACCGCAGTCAGCAAACTCCGCCTGTTCGCGGCGGCCTGCGCCAGCCCGAGCTCCCGCAGCCCAGGTAGCTTCCTGTCGATAACGTGTTCGGAGAGATCAGGGTTCGCTCGGACCTCCGCCTCGCCCCCCCTATATCGTTAATTGACTTTGAAGGCCAGAGCCTCGTGGAAATCATCGGGCCTGGACCATTGACGAACACGGATGTCACGATATTCGCCCAAGACAGGAAAGGCGCGGACAGCACGCCCAACCACCCACCAATCCCGACGAACATGCCCACGAACAAGAGCAGGCATCCAGGAAACCTCTTCCGCCATGGACCCAGGACCTTGCCGCTCCTTCTGCTTCATCGCTTCCCGGGCCGCCTCGCACAATGCTTCTTTGAAATCCTGAAGCCTGAGACGCGGATGCCCGTGAAAGTCAAGCTACGTCACCAACTCGGTGACGAACTCAGCAAATCATACGCTTTGAGACACATTTCGGGGCACTCGGCGGCCCCCCTCGGGTAGCCGGCTGGAGCGCGACAAAAACAGGCGCGCGGTCGCTTGGAACTACCTCGCTATTAATGCCCAAACACAAAGGAAAGTAAAGAAGAGCCGCAATAAGAATATTGTTGCATAGTCTGTCCAAGCGACCAAGCGAGACAAATTTGCCGCGCTGGATATGCTCGCGGGCGCACTCCGACAGGCAGACCTCAGCAAGCCCAGGGAGCACATCATGAAAATGCCGCGTCAGAGAGTCCGAGGGCAGGGTGCTCCTGCCTACCTTCTGAAGCCGCAAGATGACCACCCCCCTTCGCCGAAAAGTGAAAGTCACCACCAATGAAAACCGTCGCAGAGGCGTTCGACCATTTCCGAGCAGCACCCTTCGAGAGCACAGATTTCTGAGCAGGGACCGACAACTTAGGGTCAACGTGAACCACGGAGATTTGGAGACGCCCCTTCGTTCCTGCGAGTTCAAGCGCGCCCACGCGCCCTCGAACGAGAAGTTGATAGTGCGCGTAACTCAGATTGCCACGCATACTGGGACGCATCCTACCACCCCCTGGATTAAAAAGTGCTGATCGGCACCACGGCGGGAAACACCCCCTGGGTCTTCGCCGATTGGGGGGGGGGGAAACAACAACCACAAAGAAAGTATTATTATTATTTTTGATAATTTGGGACCGGCGATGCAGTTGCTAGGACGAGACGCGCGGTTTCTAGGACAGCCCAAACGAAATCGCCACTCTTTGGTGGTGTGAAAAGCGGTCAGAAAATATCATGCGCGGAATTCTCAGGCGATATCGCCGCTCTCAAGCGGCACGAAGATGGATCTGATTTTTTCCTGCGGAAGTCCCACGCAAAATCGCCACATTCTGATGCCGCGGCAAATTTTCATATCGCCCTCGATGGCGATCTGAATTTTGCCGGCGGAAGTCTCAATCGGCATCGCATTTTCAGACGCCGACCCCATTTGGCCGTTTTAGTTTTCAAAAAGTGAAAGATGCATCTGACATTCCCGACTCGGCCCCGTATCCAACGCTGTCCCGGGACCCCGTGGCCGAACGGGGGTCCGACCGTGTCTTCCTCGATCCCCACTGTCTCCACTTCTATATCCAACGGGTTGCAATGACCATCCAGCCAGAGCTAAGATTGTCACAGAAGGCGCCCCGGGATCTGAACGGGCCCCATGGGTCTCCTGAAGGATGACCACGTCGAACTTTCGATCGAGTTTCTCGAGACGGGCGCGAGTAGCGAGCTGCGTTTTGTGGGACCCCCAGGCACTGCCAAAGTACGCCTGGAAATTCCAAGAAACCGCAGAGAGCCTGCAAGCTGGGAGGAATGGGAAGGAAGGAAATCAGATGTGGGCTCTGAGGGACCCCCATCTTCTGCAAAGCCTAATTCACCGTCGCAAATATTGTTGTCACTATCACTACTACTTGATGACCCGCACGTAGACGCCGAGGGAGACGAAGGGGAGGAGGGAGGCGGAGACAACATAGCAATCGACGCAGGCGCACTACCATTCCCAGAACGCGCACAAACCGAATTCGACTCATGGACCCCTTTCACATGTCATCTCATCCTGTGCTCTTGCCTCTGTCGTGCGAATAGAACTCAAAGAAAGACTTGCAGTTGCTGGCGTCACGTGTGGAACATCTCGACGGCGGTCTCGCTGATGCATTTCCTTTTGCCCATTCGAGGCCGCCGATGCCGCGGCAACCTCTATCCGCTCCTGCACCTTCTGCGAGTTTTCCCCCAGCCTGGTGAACTCCTCCAAGAATGGGTTGAAGACTCAGCCCCTCTCATCGGAGTCCTCGATCTTGAACAGCTCGTATATGTCCGTGTCCGATATCGAGCTGACCACGCCCAGGTAGCCGTTGCAGCCCAGCTTGAAGCCGCCCATGTCGTATCTGCCTCCCGCAGCAACTTGAGCGTGCCATCCCACGTATTTGATTATGCTCTCTGTCGCGCCCTCACATCCAATGGCAGATCTCCTCGCACACGGACTGCACGTGCTCGGTTGTCACGAGGGTCGACCCACGGCAATTGACGATCTGCAAATACGTTCTGGAGCTCCCGGGCCCCCACCTCCGTCGTGAAGTCGACCGCGAAGTTCTTGCCCGTACGTGAGATGACCACCGAGAGGCTCTCCTTCACATTTGTCGGAATGTGCGGCTCCATCTGCTGGTCGTAGAACTGGCGACGCTGTGTAACTGTGAGCGTCCTTGGAAATGCCCCAACCCACCTCCGCAGCCTGTTGGTCTGAGGCTGCGCCTGGTGTCGACGAGGGCCTGCGGATTGTCCCTATGGCCAGCCCGAGCCCCCTGACGAGCTTCCCGCCGACGATGGGGCCTGGGCCTTGAGCTGCGCCAACTCTGCCATGATGCCCTCCAACTTTGCATCCACCACAGCAGCCGCCACTGCGGATCGGATGGCCTCACTGTTGCCGACCTCCACCTTGTTGAGACGGGCGTTGATCCCTTGGGCGTTCTGATCGTGTACACTGAGGGCCGTGCGCAGCGAGTCGATATCCTGCGACATGTCCTGGTTCAGCTTGGCAATGTTGACGCTCGCGTCCCGCACCGAGTTCATTAGCTCAGACAGCCAGGTGGGCGGGCGCCCTCTCTGGCGCCTGGTAATTGAAATCATTGTCAATCGGGGCGCCATCACTGCGGCTGCGGCTGCTGCGGCTGTCCGCACTGAGGCTGGTCGAAGCACGTCGCTGCGGGCGCTCCTTCCTCCTCCCAGCCGACGGGCTCATGCTGAATCTCTCAGGCTCGGCGGAGCGGCGCTCTCCACGCCTTCGCGTCGGCATCGCTGCCACCGTTGGTGAAACTGGAGTGATGCGAGTGGTTTTTCTGGCAGAGCAAAAGACTGATTCTGGAAGGATCTGCCTTGGCAGGCACCTGTGATCCCCCATATAAGCTCGACTGCCCAGCTGGCTCGACAGATGTTTTACTTGAGCCACAATGGCTTGAGCCAAAATGGCTACGGAGGGGAGGAGGAGGAGGAGGAGGTGGAGGTAGTGGGGGAGGACGAGGAAGAGGGGAAGGAGCGAGGACGGGCAGGGGGAGGAGGACTGTAGTGTACTGCTGCTGCCCTGGCGGGCAGGCCTAGTTAACCCTGGTGAGCCAGGTGGGGCACATGGGCTCCCCCGTCCTTGAAGGCGGCGGGTGGTTCGTGAGGGGTGGGGGGGCAAGCCTTCTGGTCATGAGGGAGTGGGGGGAAGAGCCACCGAGAGGGCTCGTCGGAGGCCAGTCGGCACCCCGCGGTGCGCGCGCGCCCCCGCGCGGCCCTCAGCGGAGCCGGGCTCTCGGGCCTCAGGCGGCGCGGTCTGGCTGGGGAGGCGTGAGCCCGCAGGGCTCGGGCGCCTCCTGTACCGGCGGCTCCGCGGAAGAGGCCAGTAACTAAGGCAGCTTCGTGTCATGACGGGCCCGGCGTTGGTTTCTGACACCTCCCTCACCCTCCTTTTCCTCCTCCTCCTCCTCCTCCTCCTCCTCCTCCTCCTCCTCCTCCTCCTCCTCCTCCTCCTCCTCCTCCTCCTCCTCCTCCTCCTCCTCCTCCCTCCTCCTCCTCCTCCTCCTCCTCCTCCTCCTCCTCCTCCTCCTCCTCCTCCTCCTCCTCCTCCTCCTCCTCCTCCTCCTCCTCCTCCTCCTCCTCCTCCTCCTCCTCCTCCTCCCCTCCTCCTCCTCCTCTCCTCCTCCTCCTCCTCCTCCTCCTCCTCCTCCTCCTCCTCCTCCTCCTCCTCCTCCTCCTCTCCTCTCCTCCTTGTCCTCCTCCTCCTGCTCATCGTCATCATCCTGTTCCTCCTCCTCCTTTCCTCCTCCTGTTCCTCCTCCTCCTCCTCCTCCTCCTCCTCCTCCTCCTCCTCCTCCTCCTCCTCCTCCTCCTCCTCCTCCTGCTCCTTCTCGTCCTCCTCCGCCTATCCATATTCCATATTCGTATACACTCCCACTCTGCCCTCTCCTCCCAGCCGATTAGGGGCCAATCCGGGAGGTCCCATCCTAACCTGCAAAAAAAGCAATACAACATCTACGTTTTTCCATTCAACATTGACGTCCTGCGGTCCACGTCGCGAAATGCGTGGCAGGAATGGGACGCGGCGCACACCCATGTGGCCGCCCGCCAATCGGGGGGGACCATCCGAAAATGCAAAAACAATACAAAATCTACGTGTGTCCTGTCGGCATGGACGGCCTGTGGTCCACGTCGCGAAATGCACGGCAGGAATGGGACGCGGCGCACACCCCGCGCGAAAGGGCGAAATGTCGCTCTCGCTTCGGCGCCGCGCAATGTTTTCTCAAAGTGGCGCTCCCGCCAAAGCGCGGCGCGCATTTGTCGCTCGCCAAGTCGTCGGGCGCCTGGGAACCCCTGGTGCTTCTTTCTGAAACCTCCTGGTGCCTCCTGGGGCTTCCTGGTGCCTCCTGGGACCTCCTGGTGCTGCCTAGGACTGAAGCCTCCTAAGGCCTATTGTGGTTTCCTGGTGCTCCCTGGGCCTTCTGAAACCTCCTGGGGCCTCCTCGGGCCTCCTGTGGCCTGCTGTAGCCCCCATGGGGCTTCGGGGGCCTTCTGGAACCTCGCGGGGCCTCCTGGGGCCTCCTGAGGCCTCCCAGCTCTTCTGAGAAGCCTCCCAGCTCTTCTGAGAAGGAGACAAGACGACATCCGCTTTCTCAGACGCCCCGCCCTCTCAGAATGCCACCACCGCCACCACCGCCACCACCACCACCACCACCACCACCACCACCACCACCTCCACCACCCCCGCGCCACCCCATTTTTTTATGCGCGCCACAAATTTAGAGAGACGCGAGGGAGACTGGGGGAGGGGGGCCAAACCCAATTGCGCGGGCCGCTGCCGCAGCATCGCATCCAGCAATCGGGGGACGCCCGCGGGTCAGCACTCACCCAAGGTCACTCCAACGAGGGGTCACTCTCAAGTGCGGCCGATGCCTGGCGGCGTGCCAATCAGGGGATCGGGGAACCTCGAATCGAACTTCGGGGTTCCAACCTCGAGGTTCGAGGTTCTTGGGCCCTCGCGCCCGTTTCGTAGCCTCCCGGGGGGCGCCTCATGGCCGAGGCTGGATCCGCCTCGGAACTGTTTTTGGGGGAGAAAGGACAATTCCGCTGCCCCACGTGGGGGCTATCAGGCGCCAGACTCAGACCGACAATACATCGATGCGCTCAGCAACAGGATTGTGGATCCGCCTCGAAGCTGTGATCCGAACGCATCCCACGACTCTGGGATAGGTCCGGGAGGGCGATTTTTGACTCCCCGTGGCGGCGATCCCGGGGGGGAATTGAGAAGGGGCGGGCCTTCTCAGGAGGCTCGGAAGTCCTCTGGCCTGCTGAGAAGTGTTCTCAGCCTTCCACGAGGCGGGGGGGCCATCCTGGCGAGTTTCCAGAGCTGCACCCAGCCGCGGCGACGAGAGCCTCCAGAAGCACACCCAGACCTCCACAACGCAGCCGTCCCCGGACCCCCGACGCTGGATCTTTCTTGCGCAACGTGCCCCCCCAGAGGTCTCGGCCCCTTTCCTGGGGCTGGCTCTTCACGCCGAGCCAGGAGCCGACCCCCAGAGGCCAAAAATATAGAAAACGTGCCGTCTCGATGTGCTGTTTCGAGCCGCCAGCTGTCTGGGAAGAGGAGGAGGGGGAGAAGGAGGAGGAGGAGGAGGAGGAGGAGAAGGAGGAAGAGGCGGCGGGAGGAGGCGGGAGGAGAAGGAGGATGAGGAAGGAGGGGTGGCCGCGTTCGAAGCGAGCCCCGAGGCCGACAGCGACAGCAACAGGAGGAAGAGGAGAACTTCTCGTCCTCCTCCGTGAAGAAGAAGATGAAGATGAAGACGAAGAAGAAGAAGAAGACGAAGAAGAAGAAGAAGGAGGGGGAGAAGTCCTCTTCCTTGAGGGAGGAGAACTTCTCGCATTCCTCCTCTAAGGAAGAGGCCCAGGACGTCGACGACGCCGCCGAAGCTCCTGCTGCGGCAGCCGGCGCGGGGGGCGGGAGCGGCAGTGCCGCCCAGGCGCGAGGGCGGCCACCGCAGCCGGGGACGCGGGCTCGCCCTCGGGGCCTCGGGCGCCCCCCCGCGGGGGCGTCGCCTGTTGCAGGACGGGGGGGGGGGGCAAGGTAAGGGGAGGGGAGGGGGGAGGGGGGGCAGCGTGAGTAACCCGAACGTGGTCCCTCCTAACCTTCCCCCCCCACACACAACGCTCCCCCTGACGCACAGCTCGATGTGCCCCACGAGCCCCCCCCCCTATGAAGGGGGAGCTGCGGCTGACGGGAGACATCGAAACGTCAGCAGGGGACAGCGTCAGCGGGGGGGGGGCGTCGGGAGGGGGCGGGGGGGGGACTGGTTCAGGGGGGCAACGTCAGGGGCGTTCGGGGGAGCATCGAGCTTGAATCGGCGATGCATCGCCGATGGATCGGCGACAGGCCCCCCGCCGCGAAACCGCACGCTCCTGGGAGGAACCGGGCCATCGGGCCCCTCTCGGCGATGGAGGGGCGATTGGGGGTCGATGTGTCGCCCCCCGCACCTATCCGCCCCTAACGTTGCCCTGAAGTCGGGGGGGGACTCTCTGCGAGGTGATGATGCAAGACGCTTGGCATTCGTGTTGGAACGACCGCAACGGCCTCGGGCCAACGGACCGCTGGCACGACACCACGGGCCGAAGAGGCAGGGAAGCAGGGACACACGGCCTCAACAAGGCCCTGGCCGCGCGCCCTCCCAGCGCCGCTGCGAGGGCATGCACGCCGGCGCTCGTCGGCCCAGGATCGGACCAGCCCACGCTGACGGGGAACGACAGGGGGGACCGGCCCCAAAGGGGAAACATCGACCTGGAATCAGCCCGGCTCCGAAGGGGAAACATCGACCTGGAATCAGCGATACAGCACCGACGGGCCTCCCATGGCGAAACCGCGCGTTCCTGAGCGGGGCTTGCTGTCGGGCCCCCATCGGCGATCAACGGGCGATTCGCGGTCGATGCACCCCACCCCGAGCTATTTCCCCCTAACGTTGCCCCTGACCAGCCGTTGTCGGCCCAGGATCGGACCGGCCCAAGCTTCGGGACAGGCGTACCGGTTGGCGTTCCCGGGTGGCTGGGAGGGGCATGTGGCACAGGTCCAGGAAGGCCTGCTCCGCGGCCGCGAAATCCCTCTGGGTGCGCTCGGTCTGCTGCGCGTCGTGCCTCGGCGGAGCTCTCGGCGGAGCTCCCGGCGCAGCCCACGGCTTGCTCTCGACGTCAGAGGTGGGCTTGAGGGCAACCTCGTACTCGAAAGTGTTTGAAAAGCACCCCTTGATGGCCGCCATCCAGGTGGCAGTGCCCAGCAGGATGAAACTCGGGGCGCCCCAGACGAAGTAGGACACAAGCAGGGACAGCTGGTGGTACAGCGTGTAAGAGTAGCCTTTAGTATCGTTGTCCTCCAGGCGCTCGCGCACTAGGCGGTACACCCTCAAGAAGACAGTTGTCGACGCCAAGGAGAAGATCATGCTCCCAATGGCGAGCATAGAAGGCACGAAGTGCGTGCGACTGAACAACAGGAAGGGAGTGCGGCCCGGCATCTCATGGAACAGCGAAAGCATGATGGTCCGCAAGAGCGTCTCGCTAACCCCATAAATCGAAAGCATCCCGATCATCACGTGCAGGTTGACCAGCTTGACTAGGAGGGACAATCCTGTCGTCGCCATGTACCAGAACTGGAGAAACTTGGCGTTGCCATTGCCCATGCGAGCCCGGTCCACCGCGAGGCTGAAGAGCAGAGGCAGCATCGTAAAGTAGTACGCGACATCCGAGATGCCCAACGCGTGCCGCTTGGCCTGCGCCCAGCGAGCCTGGCACGTGCCCACCCACGTCGTGTCCTCTGGCGTATAGTTGAGAGTGGGCACCAGGATTGGCTCCAGGCGGGTCCGACCAAATGTCAACAGAAAGCACTTGATGCCCATGTGGTAGTCTTCGGCAATCCAGTCGGGGTCCCAGCCACCAACGTACGCGGCCAGATCGAACGACAGGGAGTACGTTGAGTAGGGGAAGCGCACGGCGTTGGGGTCAGCGAGCGCCGCCATCTCGGAGCTGGCCGTGAACATCGTCCCTACCACTACAGGTCCAGGCAGCCGGTGGTAGTTCTTCAAATGAAGGATCGGAGACTGCCAGAACCGGAAGTGCCGATCCTCTTCAGGGCAATGCAAGAAGCTGGAGGTCAGCAGCTCGAAAAAGCCCGGGCTGAACTCCGAATCCGCATCCGCCACCGTGATGATAACCGACGACGTGTCGCGCCCCTCGGCGATCATCTTCTTCGCGAGCTGCTGGAAAGCCCAGGACAGATTGCTGGCCTTGCCAGGAGGGTCGTTCGGCAGGTCAGGCGGGTGGTAGGTCACAAATATCTCCTTGAACTTTCCCTTAAACTTCTGCTGCAGCTCCTCCGCTTTACCGGACGCGTCTGGCTCGCGGAACTCCATGGCCAAGACAACACTAATCCGCCCCCATGCCCCCTGGCATGTTGAGGCGTAATAGACTGCCAAGTGCTGCCTGGCGCGGATCCTGTAAGTCCTCTCAGGGACCCCTCCCCCCCATGCCAGCCACGCCCAACCGCATGCACCACCCTCCCTCACGAGGCTTCCAGGGGGGCCCGACGCCTCCCTGGGGCTCTCCATGGCTCTCCGAAGCTTCCCAAGCAAGATGGCCGCAAGACAAAAGCCCAAGAGACGCGAGACGGCTCCAGAGAGCCCCGAGACGCCTCAAAGAGGACCTCGAGGGACCCCCGAGACTGCCCCAAGATCTCAAGACAGCCCCAAGGCAGCCCACGCAGGCACCGTGAGAGCTCCTTAAGAGGTGAAGACGAGAGCGGTTACGCGTGACGGCCTCGAAGGGCTGCCACGCGGAGTGCTTCGCTGGCACTGGCGGACTTGCCGCCAGCAGCTGGATACTGGTCGGCGCCAGGTGGCTCTGCGCGACGGAGGCCAGGGCCATCGAAACGACGTCCAGCCCCTCCTTGTACTGCGGGAGGATGACCCAGTGGGTGACCCGGCCCAGCGCGTCCGCGGGGTGCCCGCCAAGGGCAACCGCCTCGAAATCCATGCGCATCGAGTTCTGCATGCGCGTCATCGTCAGGTTGCCAAAGATGCTCACGTACACGCCCTGGTTGAAGATAAATGCGGACGTCAGAATGATGAGGGTTGATACTATCTCTTGCGGGTAGCGGTACGCCATGCTCCACACCACCATCGGGGTGCCGAAAATGAGGAGCGAGGGCACTGTGCGGCAGAAGGTGGTCCACAATTTGAACGCCCGCCTCGACCGCTCCGTGAGGCGCTTCCTCGGCAGAACTGGGAGGGCTGGTCTCGACGGATCAATGGGGTTCGGCTCCCCCGAGATGCCATCGTCCGAGGGGACCGTATCCAAATAAATGCTCATCCAGACCATCATTGCGTACAAGAGAACGACCAGGCAGCCCGGGTACGCGGCAGAGCTCATGATCAGCAGCACCGTCATGTTCATGTAGGAGACATCGGCCCACAGCACGACGCCCAGGGCCGTGTGGGGAACGACGCCCGCGGGGTGGACCTCCTTGATCGAGAACCACGTCTGCTCGCCGTCCCAGATGTCCGCGCCGACGCCCACGGCCTGACCAGGCCCCTAGCAGACCATGCCCTCCTGTGACACCACCCTCGCCTTTCGGGCTTCCCCCTGGCCGCACACGTACGCCCTTTGGGGCGAGGCGAGGGGGACGCCACGGAAGGGGGCGGTTTGCTCGGGGTCGGTTCAGGCCGCCCGCGACGACCAGGGTGGTCGTCGTGACGGCCGCGCGGCCCGCACCCACAGCCCCGCGGGCCCCGTGGCCCGGCTCCGGGCCCCTCGACGGCGTCGCCTCCCGCGGCTCTGCCGCCGAGGCCGCCGCCGAGGCGGCGGCGGCGGCGCCCGCGACGGCCGCGCTCTGCTCCAGCGCCGCTGGCGGGCTGCCCGCGCCTGGCGCGAGGGCCACCGGGAGCCGCGCCGGGGGCGGCGCCCTGGCCTGCACGACGTGCAGCGGCCCCTGCACGAGGCTCACGCGGAGCGCGGGCTCCTCCTCCTCCTCCGGCAGCGGAGGCTGGCCCCACCTGAGCGACGAGAATCGACGGGTCTCACGCACGATGGCAGAGCAACCTCGCGCTGAGAAGAGGGCGTTTAGGCGCGACCTTGCGCGAGAAGCGTACGCGCCAATGTCCGCGCAGTCGAACTATTGTCTCTGCGCCGCTCACCTGGCTGGGACGGCAGCCGTGCCGGGGCCGGCCCTGGGTCCACAGTTGACCTGGCCGGGAGCGGTTCACGTCAGGCCCGTGTCGCCCCGCGCCTGACACCGCGTGCACCGCTCCACGCTGAGCCATCCCCGCTGTCCGGGGGCAGAGATCGCTCAGGGCCGGCCTGGCTCGGGCCGCCGGTGGCCATCGGGGCTGGAGCGCCCGCGCAGGCGCTGCCGTCGCATCGGCGCGGCGCGGGTCCGCCGCGTGTGCGCATCCGGACGTCCTGTGCAGGTCTCTTGGCTTCTGCATGCGGGGCCCCCGCGTTCCCGACCCTCTGCCCGGGGCCGGCTCATTCCTCCCGAGCCGTCGCTCGACGGCCCCCGGGCCCGGCGGGGGCTCCCCAGAGGCCGGAAAAGATGCGGGGAAGCTCCGTGCGAGCAGTGGCTGCGAGGGGAAGTGGTACGGGGGGAGCCTGCCCAGGGGCCCCCGGGGGGGGGGGGGCGATACGTCGCCGATCGATCACGGATTGACCCCGCATAGGGTAACCGCTGGTTCCTGGGCGGGGCGGGCTATCGGGCTCCTGTCGGCGATCAGTTCGAGCAGGGAATCGACTGCAGACTCGATTTACCCCAAGATCGATTTGCTCGACGAATCCACCACGAATCATCCGCAGGATGGTCGTAGACCTGCAGGACATTCTGCGTGTTTTTGTCGTTCTGGGCTACGTCAATTCTGAAGCCGACCTCCGACTCGATCAATGGGCGATGGGGGGTCGACGCATACCCCCCTGGAGCCGACCCCCCAGCGTTGCTCCTGCTGTGCTCCCCAGGGCCTCCCGGGATCGCCGCGGGCCTCGGGCCTCTCCAGGGGCCCGCCGCAGCGAGCCGCGGATCCTGGGGCGACGAGGTCGATGTGCATGTCCACCGCCACTGGCTGGGCCCATCCTGGGCCCACGAGCGGTGTGCCCTGAGATCCTGGCGTCTCAGCGTTTCCACAACGGACGTTCTCTCCCCGCTTCGGGCCCCGGGGCCCTCGCAGATCGATCCGGCTTGGAAAATGGCGCAGAAGGATAGGGTCCTAGGGCTCCAGTCCTGATTTTTGAAGATGTTGCAGTGGTTTCGAGACGTCGGATCTCAAGGGATACGCCCCGCATGGCTCGGCCAGGGAGGCAATGTACACCGAGCCTGGGCCCAAGGAGGGCCTGGCCAGCAGCGGTGGAGATGTACCCAGGCAGGCGACGTCTTGCTTGCTCCCGCACGCGGGCCCCAAAAGCCCCGCCCCCTTCCCCAGGGCCGGCTTCTCTCACCGGGAGGCGGCTGCCGACGGCCCCGGGGCCCGGCGAGGGCCCCCTGCAGGCCGAACGCGGCCAGAGGCCCCCCGTCGTGGCTTCTTCTGACTACCTACCAGACCACCCCAACCCAACCCGAAGACCCGAATTTCGGGTTGGGGGGGGGGTATGGGTTCCATATATGTGTTTTCTCGATGCTTCCCGACCCCCCCCCCACCACTGGAGATGGATGGCAAATCGGGGCCTTCGGGTTGGGTTGGGGTGGGTTGGTGGGTGGTGGCATGACGCGAGCGCATGCCTGGGCACAGACCTCGTCGCCGCCCGAGCTCCCACGGCCGCCGACAGCAGCGCCAGCAGCAGCCCCGGCGGCGCCCGCCGCCCCGCCGGGGCGGCGGCCTGCGCCGCCGGGGCCCCCGCGGCCTCGTCGCGGCCGGCGGCCATCGGCCGGGCTGCGGCGGGGAGGAGCGCGAGGCTCGGAGGGCCCAGTGGTCCCAGTGGTCCTCCTCCTCCTCCTCCTCCTCCTCCTCCTCCTCCTCCTCCTCCTCCTCCTCCTCCTCCTCCTCCTCGACCATCCGGTCGGACGAGAGGGGGCAGGTCCCAGGACACCCGTGGAGGCCTCGCACACGGGGTCCGAGCAGACGGGGTCGGGGCTTCGCACCGCGTCGCCAATGCATCGGCGATGCATCGGAGATGCGTCGGCGGCACGTCGGCGACGCGTCGGCGATGCATCGGCGCCGACGGGGTGGAGAAACTCGGGCCCCGCATCGAGGCGCATCGCCGATGCATCGGCGATGCAGCGCGATTTTCCGATCCCATCTACTCGGAGCCAATTTGGGAGGCCTCGGATTTAACGCATTGCCAAAGCAAGACGTAAGCTATTGGTAATGTTCAACCTCCCTGGGCCCTCGCTGGGTCCCAGGGCCGTCCAACAAAATTATCCCGGCAAAGCAACCTAACAGCGATGTGTAGAAGCATATCTGAAAGCATTCCCCTTAAGATTCAGATGAAAATCCAGTTGTAGAATTCTGCTGTTCTCGCAGTCGTAGTCGCATTCGCGATGACAGTCGCAGCGGCAACGGCAGTCGCAGTCACAGCCTCAGCCTCAGCCTGCCTCAGCCTCAGCCTCAGCCTGCCTCAGCCTCAGCCTGCCTCAGCCTCAGCCTCAGCCTGCTTCAGCCTCAGCCTCAGTCTGCCTTCAGCCTCGGCCTCAGCCTCAGCCTGCCTCAGCCTCAGCCTGCATCAGCCTCAGCCTCAGCCTCAGCCTGCCTCAGCATCAGCCTGCTTCAGCCTCAGCCTCAGCCTCAGCCTCAGTCTGCTTCAGCCTCAGCCTCAGTCTGCTTCAGCCTCGGCCTCAGCCTCAGCCTGCCTCAGCCTCAGCCTGCCTCGGCCGCAGCATCAGCCTGCCTCAGCATTCAAAATGTGGCCCAGGAATGGAGTTCTGGGAACTAGAAGAACACGAAGTGGCCTACAGTTGGCTCCGGGCATTCAAAATCATGCCCAGGAATGGAGTTCTGGGAACTTGAAGAACACGAAGTGGCCTACAGTTGGCTCCGGGCATTCAAAATGTGGCCCGGGAATGGAGTTCTGGGAACTCGAAGAACACGAAGTGGCCTACAGTTGGCTCCGGGCATCCAAAATGTGGCCCGGGAATGGAGTTCTGGGAAGTCGAAGAGCACGAAGTGGCCTACAGTTGGCTCCGGGCATCCAAAATGTGGCCCGGGAATGGAGTTCTGGGAGCACCAAGAGCGATTTTGCGAGGATGTCCCAAGCGATTTGGGCTTCGGCGGCAGCCGCCCCGGGTCCCGCCCCGACCCCCCTGTGGAGTCATCTGCTGCTGTCTTTTGAGTCCACTAGAAACCTATCAGCAAAAGCTGTTAGGTAATGACTTCGGATGAAAAGTTACACGGGGGATAGGGTCGAGACTTCGTTATGGGGACAACGTTTTGACGAAGAACAGCGCATGTCTGGGATCGGGTCGGACGAAAAGGGGAGATAGTAGTAAAGCGAGTGCTAGCGAATCAGCTCGCGTAGCCGATTTCGCGGCGCCTCCCAGCGCCAGCAGGCCCCAATGTGTCGAGGAAAGAAGCTTGACGGCGGGGCCGCAACCGGCTGCATGCAGCAGATTTCGCACTTCGCCCTTTCCCACTCCCTCCTCCTCCTCGTCGCCCGACCTGAGACAAAGGCGGCCCTCCTTTGCGCTTCTCGTCCTTCTTGGGCCCTTTCTGAATGCTTTTCGTTGCATAAGCTGGATCCGCCTTGAAATTAACGCGTCGGATTGGACCCCAGGACGGGCCTGGGGACCGACTTTGAGCGGATCTGGGCCAGGCGGGAGAGCAGCCTATGTCTCGATCGGCCCCAAATCGGTCCCCAGACCACTCCAATAGTACATTCCTGACTCCTTTCTCGAGGCGGATCCAGCTGAGACGACGAGAAGACTCCCGGAGGCCCTAAGCGGACAAGAAAAGGCAGGGAGGTCCACTGCTATCTCAAGCTGGCCCTCCTCCGAGCAAGTATACAGTATGGTCTACAGCAAGCACATTGGGGTTGCGGCCTGCGTCGCCTGGGCCATGGCGGCTGCCTGGGGCAGGCGCAGATGGCGGCCTCCATATGCCGCACCGCCGAGCAGCGTGGACTGGCTCCCAGAAGAGGCATGCACAGGCAACCGACGTCTTGGAAATCAAGACGGATACTTTTTCTCGTCTTCGGCCCCTGGGGGGGCTGGGGGGGCCCTCGCCGGGCCCCGGAGCCGTCAAGAAACGTTTGGCACGAAAAGCCTGCTCCGAGGTAAAGGATCGGGACTTCTGGGGAACCCGCGCTGAAGAAAATCAGAACATTGGATGCCTGAGTGAGCGGGAGCACCTCGCGACACTGTGATTCAGCGTGTTCCGACGGTGGTGCCGAGCTGCTGGGCAGATCCCCTCCAGGTGCTCCGCAGGGACATTCTCACCACGGAGACCCGCTTGCCCCGCCAGGAGGCATCCACATCCACAGCTGCGGGAGTCCTACCCTGGATCCCTGGAGAACGGTGCATATGGATACTTTCAGGCCCTCAGGGGCGTGTAGATATCTATATCCACCACTCCTCGAGGGGTCCTCGAGAACCCGAAGCACGACTCCGAGGCGGTGTGTCTGTACACATGTATATTTATAATTTGTAGAACCACGCGAGCGCTTCGCACGCTTAGGATCCGGCAAGCCCCAATCCGTCACAAGTTCACAGATACTCTGAAATAGCTACCCACAGATGGTTTGAAAATGAGGCACAACAAAGCGTCCAAAAACTCGGGCCGAACAGATACGAATTACTAGACATGCCACATCCATGCAACACAATGCGAACCAATGAAAAGCAGTGAAAAGAATGGAGCGTCCTGTCCACACTGGCACTGCAATGCAACGCAGTGCCACGGAAACCAAGTCCGAGTGCAATGCAGCGCGAAGGAATGCAGGCAGAAGTTCACAAAGCGAAGAACATGAACGGCAACGCACCGCGATTCAATACTAATGAGTGCAGCGCAGAGCAGTGCTCGCCAGAGCAATGTGGATCGCGAAGCCATGCAACTGCGCATCCATCGGAGAGCAATCCAGTGCACGACAATGCACTGCAATGCAAGAACCCGTGCAAACCCGAGGATTCCGCGAACTCTGAGATCCCAGGGATACGGCGCCCTCAGAATAGCCCAAGCGCACACAAAGGGGAGCCCAAGATACGCCCAGAGGGGACCGATGAAAACCCCAAGAAGGCTCCGAGAGAGGCTCCCGGGTGGGGGGGGGCAAGCATGGCACCAAGAGAAAGAGAAAGAGAGAGAGCGAGGGTTCCACGGAGGGTCCAAAGCGGGGGCCGAAGAAGCGTCCAAAGAAAGCCTAGAGAAGTCAAGAGAGCCTCAGAAGTGTCCCCATCAGCTCTAAAATAAGGCCACAGAGGGTCAACGAGGAGCTCCGAGAGTGGCCTCAAGGTTGCCCCAAGAAGGTCTCGAAGAGAAGTCCCACAAGCCCCAAGATGAGCGTCAAGACGGGCCGA